TCTTCCTTGGTCTTTATGGTTGGCCTGGTTGCGTCTAATTGCCTCCAACCTCTATTCTATTGCCTTTATGATTTGTCAAATTTTTTCATACTCCATTTCAGTTCTGATCATTAATTAATAAATAATACTTGTTCAGTTTTCAAACCATTTAATTCTTGTTCTTGTTGCCAATCCATCAATGTGTTGCTTTAATCATCAAGGCAAAGTTAATTGCAAGAACAAAACAATTTAGTTCGGTTCTATCTCTTCACAATTTTGGCATTTTGCGATGCGTGTCATCCTTTCTTGACAAATGACAACTATTGTATGACATGGTAGCTAATTAATGAAAACGAATTAAAAAGGAAAAGAAACCAAACACCAAACACTTGGCGAAGCATTTTTAAACTTCTGTGTTCATATAGATAAGAAAAAGAAATAACCAGCCCATGTAAGGACAGGAATTAAAAGGACCTTACGCTCAGTTTGGAAGGAGTACAAATGTAAATTTGTATAATATAAATACATACAAAATAATACAAAATACAAGATTTTACATTCTACAAATTTACATTTGTACTGGTTTTAAATTGAGCCTTAATTATCTACACAAACACATGATCCATTAGATTGGTCACATCCCATTGTCCACTCATACAATCTTGAACTCTATATCAATTACATGAATGTGGATGCCCATCTATATTTCTACTACTTAAAAAAGTGTGAGTGGGTTTTGATTTTTGGAAATTTCATTGGACAGAATTTATCCTTTAATCTTGAGCTATTATGGGAGTAAATTTTCATTTTAATAGAAAATTAACTCAGTTTGGAAGGAGTACAAATACAAATATGTATGGTGCAAAACCTTAGTTGAGTCAACAAAGCAAATTAACAGTATTAATGAATAAAAAATTTAAGACCACATCTGTACCTATAATACTATTAAAAGTGTGGAATTTTTTATTTGAGTAAAATACACCATTTTTCAATTTGGTCTCTCTCATTGTAAGGACAGAAATGTAATTTGAACTACTTTTCTCCTTATTCCAATCCTTTGTTAAATCTTATATTTAAGGTATTAAATTCCACTAACATTCATTGAATCCTATTCTTGGTTAGAATATCCATATTTTTGAATTTGATCTCTCCAATTGTCAAAGCATAAAATGTAATTTGAACTCTAACAAAAGCATAAAAAATACAAAAAAAAATAGAAGATATTTGCGCACATCTATAATATTATTGTATATTTATCAGATTAAATAAAAATAAGTGTGATAAATAGGAATAAAATTATAGAAAATTTTGGAAACATATTATTTACTATCATCATTATCATCAAAATTCTCACATGCAAAGTATATGCACACTTACTAGTATTCATAATAACATTACAGTGCAATCACACTGACACCAATGCATCAAATCCCATAAATGTGCTTTGGCGAGAATAGCATTAATTAGGATGGGTGAGACCTCCTATGAAGTTCTTGTGTTATATCCCAATTTTTAAAAAGTTTATAAGAAAATATTCATAATAACATCAGACTGCTTTACAAATTGTTTCAATTTTTAACATAAAATCTTGTTCATTGAAGAAGGCTTATATATATATTTGTCTTTTTTTTTGTGAGAAAGATATTCAACTACTTATAAGAGTAGTTATTACATTCTGGAGTAATATGTGCTCAAATACTCCACATATGTCCCATCACATGAGAGAGAATGGAAATTATACTCTACATATGAGAGAGAGAGACGTGTAATGATGTAAAAGCAAAAGTATGAATGATCAATGGAAAATAAAGTTCAATAGCAGAGCATTTTAAATATTTGCTGTATGTTAAATTAAAATTTAAATCAATCATATTGAAGATATTACATGATTTATTTATATTTTTAGGTTCACGTTTCATAAGATGTGTATTTACCATTAAAGACTTTAGCAATGTTAAAGATTCAATTGTGACATGTAGTTTTATCACTGATTCATGTATTTTGTTTGACAGTGCATTTCATGCGCCATAGGTTTTGCCTTGTATGCTTTTCATTTTCATTCATTCTTTTGTCATGAATTTCCTCCATATATTTGTTATTATTATTTTTCTTGAGAACAGGGATAAGGGTGTGAGTAGCGCTATCAATGGACCGGATATTGGTCCAGTCCAACTCAGTCCAATATGAATCTATTACAAATGGAGGACTAGGTCCACTCCAATCTAATGAATACTTTGGACTATTCTAGATTGGTTCAATTAAATGCTTGAATCATCCAATCTCTTTAAATTGGTTTTAATTTAGATTGGGTCCAACCCAAACCTGGTCCCAGCCATACTATTTATCTTCTGTCAATGAATCAGATATTGCTTCACTCAATCTAGTCCAATATAAATCCATTATAAATGGAATAGGTCCAATCCAATCCAATAGATACTTTAGACCAATCCAAACCATGGTTCAATTCAATGTCTTATTAGTCCATCCAACTCATTCAAATTCATTTTGATTCGAGTGAGATCCAACCTAAACCTGGCCATAAGTATGAGTGTTGCATACTTGAAACAATATATAGTTTTCTCACAAAAAAAATAATAATAAAACACAACTCTCAATTTCCTACTCCCCAAAGAAAAATATTAACAAGGCTTTCACAAATAAAGAATAAATTTATCTTTAAAATATAACAGAGATACTTAGTTTAGCTTCATGTCCACTTGACCAGCACGTTTTCCTTTTCCCATCAAAGTCATAATGTGTCTCAATACTAATACTAGTGAGGATGATATAGGAGGGGTTTGTCAATGCGCAAAAAACCAAGGTTCAAAATATAGGCACTCTTGATTCAAAATTTTAAGATGCCCAAAGTTTTAATCAATTGATATTTAGGGTCTGTTTGGTTTGTAGTCGGATTTGGAACCAAAATCCTTGGAATTGGGGACAAATATTTCAGTTTCAAATTTGCTTGAAACCAATAACAAACTCAATAATCTAAATGGGGGCAAATAATATTGTAAAGATAATATTTTTAGAAATGCTTCATAATTTTACCTCCAATTTTTTGAAATTACATCTCCAATAAGACATCTCTGATCCAAATCGATCCCCTCATTCCAACTATACTTATGTTTATTGCTTAAAGTTGTTAGATGGCTCACGCCCACAGAACTTATAAATTTCTATTAGGCTGAGTTTGGAAGGAGTATAAATGCAAATATATAGAGTGCAAGACCTTATATTTTGTATTATTTTATATTTATTTATACTGTATATATTTGCATTTGTACTCCTTCCAAATTGAGCCCTAGTAAAATTGGATTTGTATTGTTTATGTTTACAGGAGTCATAAATTCAAGGAACGGAAAAAATGAAGAAAATAAATATAGAATTTTTTTTTTTTTTGAGTGGGGAATGAGGACTGGGTGTGGGGGTGATTGGGTGACTGGTCCAGACATGTCTGAAACCAAGGCAAGTACCGGAATTTTGGTAAAGATATCAAAATCATTTTCAATTATTACTTTCTGACAAGTTTTAATTTGATTCATTAATCCTATATATTCAATATTCAAATGCGGATGAATGGCATTTAATTAATCCAAATATGAAAAATAATGAATAAAATTGGGATATTGGATATTTGGTTTCTTTGTAGGCGTATATCGACATTGGAATTTGGAACACAACCAATCCTTCACCCTCTCCATCTCCCACCTCTAGGTTTCATAAAGATATTGCCATTTAACCCATTTTGTCAATGTATGCTATGATAAGGAGAGCAAAACAAGATATGATATTATCAGTTAACCCATTTTACCCATAACCTCAACAGATTAATCCTTGAACCACCACCACCTGATGCTGATGGAAAAGCGTTTCTGTTCTTGGATCATTTTATTGGACATGTTTGGAACCAATACCATTTCCTGATGCTTTTTGAGCAAACAGTGCTGCATTGGTATAAAACATTTTATTTTCTCTGTTTGAGATTATTATTATTGCTAATATATAGGTGTTTTCCAATGTCATATATAAGCGTACGATTGGTTGCAACAGTAAGAAAACTGAGAAAACCTTGAAAAAAAGCCTTTTCTTATATCACACTTTTCCTAATTTAATTTTCGAGACGTGATATGAGAAAAATACATAACTAAACATGAGTATTGTTTGAAAAAAACGAATTGCATGTGACACCATTTTTTTCAAGAGAACAGCAACGGATCCAAACACTGACTTTTTTTTTCTTTTTACATTTTTTTCTATTTTCCCTTCTATTACAAGAAAAAAAACAACTCTGATTCCACGTGTTTGACTTTTGAGTTGCGTGCAATCAGCTTGTAACACTGGGGCCAAATCACGATGCAAACGCACTACGTTGATTTCTGTATCATGTGAATGCGGGGCGGGGGGGCGATTGTATCGGTTCCTTAAATCCTTCGTTTAACGTGGCCGATACTCTTAACGCTTCAGTACCGTTGTTTCCTCGAAGTTTACCGCTAGCCTATCTTAAAATATTTTCTTATCGGATAAATCAGGTATGATACCGGAAGGGCTTTTTTTTTTTTTTTAATTTTTTTTTTTATGTACCACCTGATTGGGCTGATGGGCTCTACTCTTTATGACACCGGTTATTAGTTATAAGCCTTTTCCGGAATTGACTCCATTTACTCTTACAAATGAAATCACTTTATCCCACGCAATCAGGCATATATATAGCGATCCTTCTTGCCTTCTTGCCTTCTTGGAGCCAAAAAAACTGAAATGAGACACACTGTTTAAGAAAAAGGCAATTTCGTTTGGGGGTGGAAGGAATAGCTTCCTAGATTCCATGTCTCAATGACCCATTCTTTTGTCGTGCTTCAAGTAAACACGTCCATTGATGTGTTTACTTCTCATTAGTCTTGAAGGTGGACCCCGGTACTATTTGCATCTGTTGTTAATTAGAGATAATAAAGGTTCCAATCCAACGGCTATGAGCTTTATGACATGGTGAATCCGTATTATATATTTATATGTTTTGATTGATGCGAGGCATATAGTCTGTCTGTGATTCCGACCTTGGTGTTTTGCCCGACGAGGCGGGGGAATCTCAGTGGACTGTGGGATTCATCCAGGACCCCCGCTGGACACGTAGTGATTCACCATTGCTTGCTTCAAGGAGAGAGAAAGTGAGAAACTTCATGAGTTCATTCTCTGCACTACGACGAATGCTTCAACTTCTCTGTCTCTTTCTTCGGTCTTTGTCTCCAACTGTTCAGCCACTCAGGGACCAAGCTCTCTGGTCTGCGACTCTGTGCAACTCTATCGGATTTTACCACTTCTCTTCGTTCTTGGAGTAACGGAAGCTCTTGACAACCTTGTTTAGTTACTTCAATTTAATCTATCGTGTTCAATCATGCTTTGAGAATCTTTGGTTACTGATGGAGATGCTTCCAGATTAATTTGAAGTGCGCCGTGTTCCGAGACTTTCTGTAGGGTTTGGGGGAAAGAGATTCGAAGTCTTGTTCTGTTCTGTTCTGGTATTTCTTCCTGCAATTTGGATATTGTGAGGAGTCTCTGGATTCTTGGAGGTTGTCAGTGTTGAGATTGTTGAGATTTCAGAATTGTTAAGTTCGATCAAGTTACTTATAGAGGTACAGATCTTTTCCAGGGGTCGGGGAATTTGCTGAGTTTTTTCTTTGAAGGTTTGGTTGTGTTTTTTTTTTACAAAGTTTTAAGTGCTCTTTATTAATTGAGGGCGTTAGCTTCTGCTCAAGATGAGTTGTCAGTAGGTATTGCCAAGTTACCATGGGCGTTCTGTACTTTCGGCTTCATTTGTTCTCTTCTGACCACTGATACTTTGGTCGATCTTTAGTGGTTTTCGAAGTTTGAACGACAGGAAACGTGCTCACCTAACTTTCTATGTGTTTGATTGGCTGGTGGTTTTGGGAATAGAGGTTCGCTGGTCAAGATTTTGGGAAAAACGCTAGAAAGGTCCTTCCTTTCTTCGTGCTTTTGGTGTCTTCTCTTGACATGTAGGCTTCTGTTTTAGCTATGGTCTTTGATGTGTTCATCTGGTACAAGATCTGAGCTCGTTTGCACTCTTTCGAGCTTCAAGTACAGTGGATTTCAGTTGTTGAAGCGACTGTTGATGAAATGGAGAGTAATGGAACTGCTCATTTAAGACAAGACTTAGAAGACCATGCTGTTGGCAGCCAGGAAGTGATGGATTCTGAAGCAGACAATATCAATCCAAACAAGGTGGCCACTTCTGGTTCTTTTGTCACTGCAGTGGACGAGAAGATGGATTTCCCGCCTCATCCATCTGCATCAGAGGTTTGTCAGACCAAAGAATTGAATGCCCGGGCTTCACCTCGTAGAAGTAAGTAATTGATTTCTGGGAGTTGAGTTTCTTGTATTGTTGATAATGAATCTAAGGATATAATAGTCAGTTTGGGAATATTGAGGGAGCATTGAGAGTGCCTTTCTATGCATCGGAATATGCTTTTCTCCGTGATAAACTTCTGGCATAACCTTGCTCAGTTTCTCAAAGTAATTAAATTTTGAAGAATCTATTATCACATATCTTTCCCACAGTGATTCAATTAACAGAGAGGCTTAGTACTGCTAGACCATAAAACTACTTAACATACACCTGTACATTGCTGAGGTTCCGCAACTCATCATCAGCAATGATTAGTATTCACAGGATAGACCAGACAGACGCAGGAATACTTAGAGCTGTTACCTTGGATTCCATCTAGAGATGTAGTTTAGCACTTGATAGCCAATGGAATGGACCACTTAGTATGGCAATTATTTAAGCTCCAGTAAACATTTCTGCTGTTCCTAGGAATGGAAAAAGAACTAATTTCTTTTCTTCGCTCTTCAATGGAATCTAGTGGTGTCCACAGTGAAGGGGGATGAATTCTAAATCACCATGTGACTGACTATACCATGTTATTGGAATTGATTTCTCAAAATTCTTCACTTTCTGCTGGCATTCAAGCCCTCTAATCATCACCTCATTGCAGCATTGTAACTATTACAGTTCTATTGCTTGAAGTTTGTTTTATTTTTCATTGTTAATGCTACTATCATCATTATTGTGATCTTTTATGATCAGTTGTGTGGAATGTGGAGGGCAAACTTTCAAGTAATTCCTTTTTCATTGATCTAGAGGATCTACCATTGCATAATCCTTTCTTTATGATTCTACCTTTATAAGAATTAGGCATGGATTCTGTCCCAAGATGCATGCGTATGTGAGATTAAATTTCTAATATACACACACACACACAGAGTGCAGGGGTAAGGCTGCGTAAATCTGCCCTTCCCCAGACCCAACATTGGCAGGAGCCTCATGCACTGGGCTTCCCTTGTATATACACACACAGAAGTACATTTGCACTGTAATGCTTCTTTTTCTAGTAGAAAATTCTTCAACCAGTGATGGAAGATCAGTTCTTGGAAACTTAGAAGCTAGTTGTGTTGGCTGAGGTACATGGTGCTTCTAATTGAGTTAGATGTGGCTAACTCCATCTCTAATTTTCTGGTGTATTACATGTTTGTGTTTCATGCTATAATAAAATTTATAAAAGAGTTCAGAAGAATCTTTAGAAATTTTGGCTATTCTAAGAGACACAGAACAGGATCATTTGCAATTTGGATATTGTGGGAAAAACTTCTTTTAACCAATAGGAAACATAGACAGGAAGTAAGGTAGGAAATTAGATGGGGCATTTTTATGAGTTGAGATGACCTCCTCTGGATATCTATTGAACTTTCAATGAGTGCAACCTACTGAAGAGGTTCAATGAGGTTTTGTGAAATTTAAAGAAAAGGAATCTTTCCCTTCTAGGAGGATGATTATTGTAGGAAGTTAAGAGCTTATGGATTGAGTGGTCCAAAGCAAGTATGGCTTGCACTTTGATAAGTTGGATTTATGCCCTGGCAATGGAACCATCCTTTCTTGCTCATGAAATGATGAAAATCCCTTGGTTGTCTATATTATATACATATATATATGCATGTATGTATGTATGTATGACCCCGTGTTTTAAAAGTGCAATGGCTATTTTGCGCCCGAGGTGCGAGTCATTAGGTGAGGCGCACCTTTTTGAAGCAAGGTGCAAAAATGCAAAAAAATGGTAAAAACCTTCAAAAAAATGCCAAAAAAAATAAAAAAATTTAATTTAAAACATAAACTTAAAATTTAAAGTAATTGTTTTATAAAAACCTATTATCTCAAATTAAAATACATAAACATAACATGTAAAACATGTTTAAAATGAAAATTTAAAAATAAAATCAAGCATAACATATAAAACATATTGAAGCATGTAAGCTCTTAATCTCTTTATTTTTCCCAATTGCATTACTTCAAATAGCTAATGTGATGTTAAACATTATGCATTCCTGAAAGTTCTGCGCCTAGGACCTAGGCGAGGTGCATACCCTAAAATGCGCCTCACTTGTGTGCCTAGGCATGCTTCAGGCATGCCTTTTAAATCACTAGTCAGACCATCCTTGAATTTTTTGTTTCTTAGATGTCTTATAGATTGAGGTTAGTAATGCCATCAAGTGTCTCAATAAGATATTTCTTATCTTGAAGTTTAGTAATAATAAGGTGTGTGTGATCTGTTGAATCAAATGGTCTTTTATCTTGCTTGTCTTTCCTGGGGGTCCTTAGCTGAAGTTGCACCATTAACACCCTTTTTCTCTGGCTAAAGAATTTGGAAAGTCCATAGGCTGCCAAAGATTGAAGTGTTTGTTTGGGAGGTGCTGAACAAGGTAAAAAATCTGACATTATCTAAAAAGGATGTGTGGTTTGGGGACTAAAATTATGCATCAGTACATGATAACACTTTTTATCTTTTGATATCAATTTTGAAACTATGTTCTTCCTAGTAAAACCAAAATTTGGACGTTGATATTTCAAAGTTTGTTTTTTAAAAATATTATAAAATTTCATTGAGGTAATTATTTATGCTGATATTAATTGGATCAGTAATGTATTTTTTTTGTACACAACTTGGTTGAAATTTACATAGGAAAAGAAGAACTTGAAAGAAATTTCTAACATTTTAAAATTTCATTTAGGTTGTAAATCTTGATATATGGTATTCATAGTTAATAGAATAAAGCAAGGTTCAAAGTATTGATATGATACACCCCATATTGGGCTTATCTATTGTATCTTTGGGTTACTGAATCACAAAATTTAAGGAATTTTAAGATTTTAACTTTTTAATATTTTGGCTTATGATTAGACAACTCTCCTGTCAAATTTTCAAAGAAAAGTGTAACGATTTTGGTTATCTAGTGTAGTTGTTCAAGACTGCTATCAGTCTTGATCACTAAGAAACTTCAGGTTCAAAGAGAAGAGAAAGTGAAGGAGGAGAAAGAGTGGTGAGAGAGTAGTAGAACACAGTTTTGAAGAGAAGAACAAAATCTCAATATTCTGCCGCCGCCACTTTAATTTAATATTTATATGTTATGCTAGTTACATGAAAGGACACATCTGCCCTYGRTGTTTAYATCATAACACATAACAATATAAAACTGAAAAGTAAATAACAACTAGAATAACAGAATCATAAATCGACCACAGCTGTGACTAGATACATTCTACCCTACGGACAGAGTGGGACCACAGCTGTGGGGCCCACATCAATGTTCTCTACACTCCCCCTCAAGTTGGGAGTAGATGTTATCATTCCCAACTTGGATAGATCTGCTTCTAGCTTCTTTCTGGATACGACTTTAGTGAGGATGCCCACTAGTTGCATACTGGATGTGATGTAAGGGAGGCATACTTCTTGAGATGAGACCCTCTCTCGTACAAAATGCCGGTCAACTTCAATGTGTTTGGTTCTGTCATGCTGCACTGGATTATGTGCTATATTAATGGTTGCTTGATTATCACAATACA